GGTTCAGGGTTTAGGGTTTTTGGGCTGAGGTTAGGGTTCTGGTTGGGGTTTCGGGATTCAGGTTTTGGATGCGGGCTATCAAGCTAGACAACGTAAGCGATCTGAGAAATGACACACCCCAAAAGGGAGTTGGGAACAGGGGGACGTTTGGGGATGAAAAAGGGTCCCTTCTAAGCGAGCCAAAAGTAGGGTTCAGAAGGGTTCCCTCTAAGGGGTCTCCCTAATACTACCTAGGATAATTACGGGTTCAGTAGGCCTTTACAGGGGCTGTCGCTCCATCTTTGTTTTTATGAAAATAAGGTTTTGAGGTATTTTATACCGCGGCTGTAACAAGGAACCCCCGTCGCAGGCTTCTGTGCCAGAAATAGTTGTACGGATGCAGAGCTCGGAACCCAAGAACCGGGAAAGGGATGGTCGTTATTCGGACCTCAACCTATATTCGTACCTAGTAGAACTGGACAGTCAACGTTGCCGCCATTCAAAGGCTATGCAACTCTTCATAACTATTCCTGGGTCAAGGGATACTTCGCTCTCTGTAGGTGACCGTCTCTCTAAACCAGTAGGATCCTGCACGTACGCATAGAACAAGACCGCCAAACTCAGAAACCAAACCTCTGGAAGACTTCGGCCAAGATGTAAAACTGCAACAGCCTACATGAACCCTGAGTTCTCAAAATCAAGGCAAACAGCCACCGAATTGAAAGCGGCTCCTTCTTAACCCTGCACCATAAACGCGAAGCCCCAACACCAGCGCGTAAACCCTGAACACGAAGCCAGAAACCCGGACCAGTGCATCCCAAACATCAAAAAGTCTTCCGCGGAGCACCTCTCGGAAAAGAAATCGCCGGGTTCAACCATCGGAGCCTTCCGTGGCCGTTACGACTGAATATCGTCTCCCGGAATAATTCGAACTGGGGCTGTGGTGTTTTGCAAGGGGGTCTGTAGCAGAACTGTGCAGAGACTGCGAGGGGATGGTATCGGTGCGGTGAGGCCCTTCGTCATGATCTCAATTGCTGTCCTCCACAAACTATCCACGTGAGTTCACGGTTTTTAGGGTTAGGGTTTAGGGTTTAGGGTTTAGGTTGTATGCCCGGGCAGGTTTGCATGTGGGCCCCACACGGGTACGCTTCTCTGCCACAGAGCGCCCATCCAACATGGCTCCAAAACCCCCCCCAAAAAAAAAAAAAAACATCGGGAAATCCTCTGCTCCAAACACCCGAACAAACCCCAAACCCCGAAAAAACCCAAAACCCTTGTAAAGCTCTTACATAGACACCGTAAAAAACATATCAAACCCCATATAAAACCCAAAAAAACGAACAAAACCCTTCTACAACCGCTACAAAACCCCAAAAAAAGAAGGCCGCCCAAAGGGCCGAAGGAGGCCGCAAAGAGCCGCAGGGGCCCCAGAGCTATGGCAGCCTCCTGCTTCAGGGCTTAGGGTTTAGGATTTGGGGTTTAGGGTTTAGGGTTTAGGGTTTAGGGTTTAGGGGTTTAAAAGTTCAGGGTTTAGGGGTTTAAGGTTTAGGGTTTCGGGCTGAGGGTTTAGGGGTTCAGGCGTTCAGGGCTTGGGGGTTTAAGGTTTAGGGTTTCGGGCTGAGGGTTTAGGGTTTCGGGGTTCGGGGTTTAGGGGTTTAAGGTTCAAGCCTCAGGGATTTAAGGTTTAGCGTTTCGGGCTGAGGGTTTACCCTAAACCCTAAACCCTAAACCCTAAACCCACGTTTCGGGTTTAGGGTTCAGGTGCTCCGACTCAAAGGTTTCCAGGTTCTCGCTGTTTTTGTCTTTTGCTGCCTCCAAGAGAAGGGTTTAGGGTTTAGGGTTTAGGGTTTAGGGTTTAGGGTTTAGGGTTTAGGGTTTAAAGCGGCTTAAGGCTTTTTGTTGGCTGGAGACGGGTTTGGTGTTTAGGGCTTTTTCTATAGGTTCCAGCTATCCAATGTACGACCCTAGATACTCAGTCCCAGGTGGAGCTGAGAGTTCAGGCGCTGGGGGTTCAGAGCTTGGGGATGAGGATATCCCCCTAGACCCTAAACAGGATATCCTTCTCAGATCCTCTATGGGCAGTGCAAGCCTTTGCTCCCGGCCCCTGATCGCCCCCTAGTCACACACTAAACCTCCAAGAAACCCTAGGCAAACCCCAAAACATCAGGAGAAGAACCCGAACCCTAAGTCCCCAGACCCAACAGACCAATCCCAAATGCCCTAATGGCCCAAGCACGCTACTTGACACTACTTCATGAGCAGTTCGCTAAATTAGGGTCCAGTTTAGGGTCCTGTTTGTAAGTTATAAGGGTGCCGTACTATGTTGGAGACCTAAAACCGGGCCCTAATTTAGAAAGCTACCCATCAAGGAACCCTTGAAGGAACCCTTTAAATTAAAGGAACCCTCACAGGAGCCCTTCAAGGAACCCGTAGAGGAACCCTTGAAATTACCCCTCATGCTTACATTGTCAGAGCCGGCCTCTTTAGGTTCGCTGGCGCTGACCACCAGCTGCACCTGCCCGGGGCGTCCCTTTGCCGAGGTGCGGCTCCCAACCTCTCAACCTATAGGAGCCTTCATAATGAGAATAGGGTTCCTGAAAGGGTTCTATAAGTTCTGTCAAGGTTACTACACGGGTTCCAAAAATATATATATCAGATAGCGGTGAATCCTGGGGCCGAAAAGACGTTTGTAAGGCTTAAATCGAATCCCTTGATGCCTTTCCGTGTAGCCCCAGGCCTACGTAGAGTTCCAGCTGTGGCTGGGCTGGGGCACTGTTGTGGCGCTCTGGGCTGGGCTGGGCTAGGCTGGGCTGGGCGACTGGTGGCTGGGCTGGGCTTGCGGCTTGGAAGTGGTCTCTCCGCACACGTTTAAAGAAAATTCGAGACTAATGAAGATGCAGTTCGAAGCGAAATTCACACACAATTTCTGTTTATCCTGTTCTTGAGGGTTTAGGATTTGGGGTTTCGGGTTTGGGGTTTAGGGTTGAGGGTTTAGGGTTTGGGGTTAAGGGTTTGGGGTTTAGGGCTTGGGGTTTAGAGTTTGGGGTTTACGGTTTAGGGTTTTGGGTTTGGGGTTTTGGGGGTTTCAGAGGGTAGCTGAGGTAGGTAGCACTATGTCCCGTTCTGGGCTTCTGTGCAGTATTCAGTATTCCGAATTCCCCAAACCCTACGCCCTAAACACTCAAGCCCCAAACCCTAAGCCCTAAACCCTGAGCCCTCAACCCTAAACCCTAAAATGTATACCCTAAACACTCAAGCTCTAAATAAACGTTAAGCCCTCGCAAGCTTTCCGGACTAAACCGCAGACCTTCATGATTAGAAAAGGGTTTGGGGTATATTCTACCACAATTATAATAAGGAGCCCCCAGAACTCTAAACCCTAAACCCTAAACCCTAAACCCTAAACCCTAAACCCTAAACCCTAAACCCTAAACCCTAGTCTAATTATTAAGACCCCTACATTAGCTGCCTCCGCCACACCGTCTTCGGCCTCACACCCCTGCCTGCCAAGGAAGCTTGAGGGACCCTTATACGTAGGGTTTAGGGTTTAGGGTTTAGGGTTTAGGGTTCAGGGTTTAGGGCTTAGGGTTTAGGATCTAGTGTTTAGGTTTAGGGGTTTGGGGCTTAGGGATTTCGGGTTCAGGGCTTAAGGGTTTACGGTGGAGGGTTCAGGGTTCCGGGCTTTTTATTGGTTCGGAGTGCAGGGGTGAAGATGTGCAGCTTAGGATGCAGGGCGTGGGATTCGGGCTTTAGCTGGTTTAGGGCTTCGGGGTTTTGGGTTTAGGGTTTACTATCGAACATGATGGAAGTGACTCGGGAATCTTCGAACCTGAGCAAATCGAATCCAGGTTTCACAATTAAGGGTTTTGGCTTCAGTGTTGAGCGTGTTTCGCTGACAGGGTTCAGGTAGATCTTGCGCCCGGGCTGGGATGACTTGCAAAGACTCGGCAGAAGAGCCACCTCAACTACTATGAACTCGCCTTTAGGATCTGAAAGACTCGACAAGTTGCAACGAACACAACTGCTTAAGTTCCGGGAACATAAAGCCACACCCTAAACCCTCAACCAAAATAAGGCGACTTATGCTGGAGGCTGCTGAGGTACATCCGTCCGGCCCTGCACAGACAAGTTCGACCTTCAAAAGCCCTAAACCCTAAACCCTAAACCCTAAACCCTAAAAGGATTCGGGAACTCAGTAAGTAAGCTTTTTCGTGCCCGCCTTCCCTGCGTGACGCGGCCTTCCCACACCAGCCGGCCGTCCAGCCACGCCTCCGCACGGAACTGACTGCGCCCAGGGTCTGCATAGGTTTAGGGTTTAGGGTTTAGGGTTTAGGGTTTAGGGTTTAGGGTTTAGGGGTTTAGGGTTTAGGGTTTAGGGTTTAGGGTTTAGGGAATCATCAGAAGAGCAACCCCTACAAAGCCCTTGCAAAGCCGTGGATTGCTGTGTAAAGACCCCCCCTCTACCTCAACCCCAAAAACGGTAAAAGCTCAAAACTCGAACTGAATCGCGTGGGTAGCCAGGGACCCTTGATGCCAGCCTTGCTGTGCAGCGATGGCCCCTGAAGGGTTGCCTGCATGTTCGTTTTTCCTACTGGTGCCGAAGGAAGAAAGTGCTTTCAAGGAGTGTTTTGGGCCACATATATATATATATATATATATATATATAGGGACTACTAGAGGGATCCCCTCTCCCACTCCCCCGTAAGCACCAGTGAGTTTTGAAGGACGAGTTGAGGCGCCAGGTTTTGGATTTCATGTCTAAGGTTTCGGGCCTGTTAGGGTTGAGAGTTTAAGATTCGTCCACGCTTTGGGTTTAGGGTTTAGGGTTTAGGGTTTAGGGTTTAGGGTTCGTCCAGACTTTGGGTTTGGGGTTCCCTAAATCCTGAACCCTCAGGATAGGGTGTACCTAAATCCTACTTCCCAAGTCGCCTCTTTTCGCAAAATGGAATTGCTGTCTTCTTGTGGTTCAGGGGCTCTAACTACAGCCTCATCCGCTGGGAGCTTTCCCCGAAACCCCTTTCGACAACTCCTCAATCCCCTGTAGGCCCCCAAACCCTCAGCCCTAAACCCTAAAACCCTAAACCCTAAACCCTAAACCCAATAACCCTAAACCCCTGAAACCCTAAACCCCCAAAGCCCTGAACCCTACGCGCGTCAGCTTCTGAGACAGCCAGGGCGCCTCGGTGGTTCGCATTTTAGGGCACAGGCTTCGCGAGCGCCCTGAAGCTTCAATTCATAAACCCCTTAAAACATGCCAGAATTACTTAAATAGAAGCCCTGAACCGACTCCTAAACCCTAAACTGTTCATAAAACCCTTAAAATGCCAAAATTCATTTAAAAAAAGCCCTGGACCAAACCCTAAACCCTAAACTCTTGTAGAACCTCCACAGAAGCCTTCGAGACCCTACACCCTGATAGAACCCAGGAGCCATACTTGGAGATGTTCATGGGCAGTTATACGTGGGGTTATAAGTAGGGTAACTATACTTATAACCCATATTAGGGGACTTATAACCCTACTTATAACTACCCATGAACCTCCAAGTATACTCTTGTAAATACCCCCTAAACCCTACACCCTATAGAACCCTTTAAAGGAACCCTTAAAGGAGCCCCATAAACCCTACTTATAACTACCCATGAACCTCCAAGTAGAAGAGAGGGAACTGGTGGCCTGCTGCGTCAGCTGATGCCAGGAGCCCGAGGCATTCTCCGAAGGGCCCGGCCTCCAGGCCCGGTTTAGGGCTTAGGGTTGAGGGTTGAGGGTTGAGGGTTGAGGGTTTCTTTCTTTTAAAGTGTTGTGACTCCCTTTCTCCATTAGGGTTTAGTGTTTCGGGTTAAGGGTTTAGGGTTGGTTTAGGGGCTTATGGCGGCTTGTAAAGGATTCTAGCAGGCGCTGTGCAGAATTTGTGGGTGCTGTCGGGTCTTACAAGCCTCTGTAGGGCGTTGTATGAGGGTTCCAGACAAGAAGTAACTACCATTCAACACGGCTTAAGTATCTAATTGGTTGTTGGCTGCTGATTCTTAGTTGATTGGTAATCAAACCCCTGAATCCCACAGCTCAAACCCTAAACCCCTAAGCCCTGATATGTTTCGGGAGGTTCATTAGTGTCCAGAGCTCCAGGGTTTTGCGTTGAGGCTTCACGAATTCATCATACCATACTAACATCCTCCAGTCAAGAAGCCAAAAACTCACATCTCTGCCCCCAACGTAATCAAAAAGACAAACTGTCCTCGACCTCGACTCACTCGGCCCTTAGACTCTGAGACCGTAAACCGTAGTTCCCGAAACCCCAAACAAGTTGACCCTCAAACACGGACTGTAAGCGCCAAGCTGTAAGCTGACATCCTAAACCCTGAAAGTACAACACGCTCGCTTTGGAGGCGCTCCGACCGGTCCTCAGCGCTGGAGTCCAAAAAAACCCGGACCCCAAACCTGCATCCCCCAGACCCTACATCAAGACTAGAAGATTTATGAAGAACTCCAGCACCGCCCGAAACACATCCTCAAAAAAGCGCTTCCAAAGACGCCGATGAAGCCCCAAACCCCAAACCCTAAACCCCTTAACCTAAGCCCTGAAACACAAAACCCTGAACCCTAAACCCCCAAACCGCTCAAAGCCCTAAAAGTCAGGTGCCCGGCAGCAGCTGCCAGAAGCGGCTCTGCAAGCGCTGCTTCCTCAAGTCCGCCTCCTCTCTTTAGGGTTTAGGGGTTTAGGGCTTAGGATTTGCTTTAGAGTTTAAGGTTCTTGGTTGAAGTTCAAGCTTTAGGGTTTCTCCGCCTTTTCAGGGCCTCACAGGGGTTTAGGGCTTAGGGTTTAGGTTTCTTTTTAGCTCTAGCACGGACTTACAAAAGTTTGGTTGCTGGGCTTCGGATGCCACAAAACTGTAGAGCCAGCCCCGAGTTATACCAGCTTGCAAGGCTCGAGCAGTAAAGGGCCAGCGCTTCCTTGAGGATTTGGCACTTTGGATCGAACATGGGGGTTTGGTTTACTATTAAGGGTTTAGGGTTTAGGGTTTAGGGTTTAGGGTTTGAGGGTACATTGTAGTACTCTAGGGTGATACTGTCACTCCTTATTCAGACCTCGCTCTCTATTACCCTAAAGCAGAGCACCACCTACTTCGTTAAAGCTCTGGTGGACTCCGGCCCCTAAACCCTAAACCCTAAACCCTAAACCGTCCCCAAGCCGAAACCCTACCGTAGGATCTCGGTGGCCAGGGCTCAAGAAGCGGATCCCTCGAAATTTCCTAGACCGCTACGATACCCGATAGTCAGTACAGCCTTAATAATTAGAATAGGGCTTTTGGGGGGCTCCTTACGGGCTCCTTATTACAATTAACATATAATGTACCCCAAAACCCTAGAAAATACCCTAAACCCTACACCCTAGAATCTAGAATACCCGGATTGAGCCCTGAGGGAGCTTACAAAGCAGGGATAAGCTCCCGGACCAAACCCCGGTACAACTCAGTGAGCTCCTCCAATGCCACATCTTATCGTGTAGGGTTTAGGGTTTAGGGTTTAGGATTTAGGGTTTAGGGTTTAGGCTTTAGGGTTTAGGTTTTAGGGTTATAGTACATGCAAGCTTCCGAACAAAAGCTTGAAGAAATCCCCATGGTACCAGCGCCTAAATCTCACAAATCCTACACCTGTGACCCCAAACCCTAACAACCTAATGGCCTAAACCCAACACCCTAGAGCTTAAACCCAAAGCCCAGGACTCTAGATCGTAAACATACACTCGGACCTGGAAACCAATGAGCCCAGACACTCTAGGGTTTAGGGTTTGGGGTTTAGGGCTCAGGGTTTGGAAAGATCCGCCGCTGCCTCCTCTTGCGAGCTCACACAATACGTTCCTCGGTGATATGAAGCATCCTCATGGTTGGTAGAACCAGATGTGGTAAGGTGTGATTAATGTTATTTGCTGGACTAGGGTCCCTGGTTCAATGGACTGTAATGGAGTGCATAGGGCTTTGTTGGTTTTCTGGGGCATGTCCCTAAACCCTAAACCCTAAACCCTAAACTCTAAACCTGAAACCCTAAACCTTAAACCCTAAACCCTAAACCCCAAACCTTAAACCCTAAACCCTAAACCTTAAACCCTAAACCCTAAACCCTAAATCCTAAACCCTTTCTTTGCTAGGAGTTCATATCGAGGCCTCCGCCCTCTGCCAGGTGCCCCAGGGTTCTCTCAGCAAACCTCGAAGCCCGAAGCCAAGAAAGGTATAAAGCAAGGGTGTAGGGTTTTGGGTTTTGGGTTTAGGGTTTAGGGCTTAGGGTTTAGGGTTTAGGGCTTAGGGTTTAGGGTTTCGAGTGGAGGGTTTAGGGATACAAGGGTTACCATAAGCGCTACTAATAATATAATAAGGGTTTCTGCTATGGCTACCTGTAAGGGCCTCTATGATGGTTACCTCTTGGGATACTACAGGCCATAGTAACCCTTGTAGTAGCCCAAAAAGCAACCATAATGATGACCCTTCTAGCAATCCTCATTCAATCAAAGACCTAGAACCTGCGAATAAGTCCCGTGCACCCCATGGGCCACTGCCGGACGAGCCGCCCATGCCGGCCCGTTTCAACCGGAAGCAAGCACTCATGGAGACACCTCGCACCTGACAGGGATTTGCCCCTTGCCCCCAATGGGTCTCCACGGAGTTCGATGGTGTCAGGTTCAGGATGTATGGCGTCAGCCTGAAACACTAACCACTACGCCCTTACAAAACCCCAAATGGAGGAGTCGGAACAACTTGAAGCAAGGTCCCTTAGAGTGCCTACAGAGCTCGACCATCATCTACACCAAAACCCTATCCTAATTCTTCGTACACCCTACACCCTGAATCCTTGATGATCTTCGTGGGCAGATTCGCTTCTTCGTGGGCAAGGGCCGTTTCTTCGTGAGATTCGTTTCTTCGTGGGCAAGGTTCGTGGGCAAGGCTGGTTTTTTTCGTGGGCAAGGCTCGTTTCTTCGTGGGCGGGGCAGGGCATTCCGTTTAGGGTTTTCGCTTAGGGTTCGTTTCGGGATTCCGTTTAGGGTTCCTTTGATGGTTTCGTTTAGGGATTAGGCTTTCGCTTAGGGAGCTTGGGGCTTAGGGAAGATCGTAAACTTTGTATGTTCTTAAAGTTTTGGGATTCTCCTGGCGGGTGGGTATTTTTCCAAGTTCTAGCTCGACTTGACTGACTAGACACTGCTCGATCCGGAGCTGCTGAACCCTAAACCCTAAACCTAAAACCTAAACCTAAAACCTAAAACCCTAAACCTAAAACCCTAAACCCTAAACCCTAAACCCTAAACCCTAAACCCTAAACCCTAAACCTAAAACCCTAAACCCTACAGCCTGGAACCCGAATCCTCGGCCCTAAACCAAAGACCATGATACTGTTGATGGACAAAATCCTGCATTACCTTAAGGACCTTAAACTATGGGAATTATGGTATATTCCTTATAATGGGTAATGCAGGATTTTGTCCATCAACAGTACCACGGGATGAAGACTCGCCTTCACCAAGAAGCCGGGCAGCCGGATCGGCGTGTCCAAAGCGGTCTGGCCCTGAGGTTTGAAGAGGGTTAAGGTTTAGGGTTTAGGGTTTAGGGTTTAGGGTTTAGGGTTTAGGGTTTCGGGTTTAGGGTTTAGGGTTTAGGGTTTAGGGTTTAGGGTTTAGGGGGTTAGGACAGCTTAGGGTTCACAGCTCAGGATTCAGGGTTTAGGGCTTAAGCTCCAGAGCTTGAGGTTTAGAGCTTAGAGCTTAGGCTTAGAAGGCTGAAGGATCAGTTCCTCCCTCGATATGATAGCATGACACAGGCAACACACCTGCTCTAGTCATGTGTGTCATCATGTAAGTTTAAATGCAAATATATAGATAGATATACATAGATAGATAGATAGATAGATAGATAGATAGATAGATAAATAGATAGATAGATAGATGTGTATATATATATATATATATCAAAATCCATTCAAACTATGGGCGGGGGTCTAGGATTGTCAACAGGGGGTCGAGAGCTTAGGGTCTAGAACTGACGGTTCTTCAGCTTCAGGGTTTGACGCTATGTGCTTGGTGTGGCAGTGTTGCTACAGCACGTAAGGTTTTAGGGTTTAGGGTTTAGTAGTTGAGGTTTAGGGTTTAGGGTTTTAGGGTTTAGGCTTTTTGGGTTTCGGGTTGAGGGTCTTGGTTGCTATAGCATCGAATAGCATCTTTGAGCCGATGTTCTGGGGCTCTGTGTCAGAATGTAAGATTGTGACGGCTGGTAGGGTTTAGGTTTAGGGCTCTTAGCGTTGAGAGTTTAGGGTCTGGGGTTTGGGGTCTAGGGCTCAACCCCAGAACTCCGACGCCTCCAAGCACACGGCATAGGCCAACGTCGCAGACGAAGGCCTGTGATAGTGCCAGGGCCCCACGGATCACAGTAAGGCCCCAAAAGACACCCTAAACACGAGGATGTGCATTCGCGGCATCTAAGGCACCCTGAACCCTAAACCCCAAACCGTGGAACCCTATCCGGGGACCTCCAGCAACCACGAACTGTGAGATCCTTCAGTGTTTCTGTGGCCTTTGCGCCCCGAGTCCTGCCTAAACCAGAAACCCTAAACCCTGAAACCCTAAACCCGAAAAAAACAAAAACCCAAACCCCTTCCGATCCAAAGCTAAACCCTAAACCCTAAACCCCGAACCCTTAACCCTAAACCATAAACCCCAAACCCTAAACCCTAAAGCCTAAACCCAAGCCCAAGCCCCAAACTCGAAAGCCCCCGAAACGCTCAAGGAAGTGTTTAGGGTTTAGGGTTTAGGGTTTAGGGTGTAGGGTTTAGGGTTTAGGGTCTGGGGCTTAGGAGTGTCCTCCTCTCCAGAGAGATCCGCAAGAGCAATGGGTCTCCAGACCCAAGCAGAACGCGGCCGCCCACAAGCCGGCCAGGGTCCACCTCTCTTGGGTTGAGGGCTTCGGCTTTTGGGTTTAAGTGCTTAGGGTTTCGGGCTTCGGGTTTTGAGTTGAGGGCTTCGGTTTTGGGGGTTACGGGCTTAGGGTTTTGGGCTGAGGGTTTTGGGTTTTTGGCTTCTGGTTCTGGGTTTAAGGGGTTTTGATTTTAGGGACTAGGGTAGCAGGGTTTCGTGTTCAAGGGTTGAGGGTTTAGGGTTTACACTAGAAGCCCAAAAGTTGGAAACCAAATAGCCTCAATCCTGAAGAGTAAGGTATAAGGAATCCCAATACTATTTGTCCTTAATCCGGTTTCCAACTTTTTGGGGTCTTAAACCCTAAACCCTAAAACCCTAAACCCTAAACCCCAAACCCCTAAGCACTATAGGGTTTTGAGCGTTCAGAATTTTTTGGGTTTTGGGTGTTGGGTTTAGGATATTGGAAATCGCTGAAGAGTCAGAGCAGAGTTCCAAAAACACAAACCAGGAAAATGGTTTAGGGTTTAGGGCTTAGGGTTTTAGGGTTTAGGGTTTAAGGTTTAGGGTTTAGGGTTTAGGGTTTAGGGTTTAGGGTTGGGGTTTCAAAAGATAGATGAATAAATTGGATTGCTAGTGTCACACACACTGAACCACGCTGTCACTTTTCCCGCGTACACTACATGTTCATAATAAGGAACTCTGCCGAATCATGTTGGAAACTTGTCAGGCTTCTAGGTTTAGGGTGTAGGGTTTAGGGTAGTTTTGATTCTTGGGATTTGTTTGAAAGACTGTTGGTTCGCCCAGGCCAGGCCGGTGGCAGGGTTTAGCCTTCTGCGCGCGTGGTTGAGATGCTTCAAAGGTTTAGGTTTAGGGTTTAGGGTTTAGGGATAATTTTTCGGGCATGTATATAATTTTGCGGTTGGGCATTGAAAGAGTGGTGGGGTCTTTGAACCAGCGGAACCTTTACACGTTTTTGGGATTGCGTTCAGGATGTGCAGAGCTTCTACAGTTTAGGGCCATCCCAGACATGCGAGTGTTTATGATAACACACGATGCGATGAGAATAGGTGACGAGACGGTTCTTGCAGCGGTTCCTGGCTGATTATGAAGGGCTGCAGTACATGCTGCTGTTGCTCTTCCTGCTGCTCTCCTCTCCCACCCGGTCGCCCTTGTCCTTCCGCTTGCTGTCAATTCTTTACTCAGACGTCCAACAGCAACAACAGCAATAACAACTAAACTCTAAACCCTAAACCCTAACTACCCTAACTACCCTACAAGCCCCGAGAGCCCTGTCGCAACGCCCGGAATCTGCCTAGAAGCATTAGCCCACACCTAACAGCGATTGCAACCATGAAGACAAAATTGCAACGTCAAAAAGAACAACCAAAGCTATAAGTCCAGTGATAATAACAAGGCTGGCGAGAAGGAGACTGGCATAAATAAGACGTGAGGATAATGAAAATGCCCGGAATAGTGAGAGTGATGATGGCAGGCTATTGTAGCAGGGGTCGGCAACCAAGAACAAGTGGCCTGTCCACGGAGAGCGGCACCACAGGGCCAAGGCAGAATCAGCTTCCCCCCGCCCCGTGCAGCAAAGGCGTCCAAGTCCTGGCACTACGCAGAAAGCCCCATTTTGTGGGCTTCTAGTCGAGTCTTGGCATGAAGATCCTTACTCTGATTCTGGAACCCGGAAAACTGTGGGGCTATTGGGCTCTTAGGGTTCGGATTATGAAGGCCTGAACCTAACGGCCCAAATATCCTCATACGCATTCTGAACTAGACGCCCCACTAGTTCTGAGGTTATCTGCCCGGGTTCCCTTACATGCGTCTCCCCAGTATGCGTATCATTGACAACCGAAACTAGATCCGCAAACTATCTACCCTCACACAAACCTACGAAACCCCAGCCAAGATACCCCCAGAGCCCTACACCCCAAACCCCAAACCCCAAACCCTACGACACCCTAAACCCCAAAAACCTATACAGCCCCTAAACCCCTAAACCCTAAACCCCTAAACTCTAAACCCTAAACCCCTAAACTCTAAACCCTAAACCCTAAACCCCTAACCCAAAAAACCCTAAACCCTAAACCCCAAACCCCTAAACCCTAAACCCTAAACTAAACTTGTTTCAGCTGCCCTAGACCGGTCCTCCGAGGGCAGGACCCAAGCAGGCTCTGCCTCCGGAGGCTCGCCGGGCTCCCGCCAGTCCTCCCAAAGCTGGACGGATCTACGCGGCTTTAGGGTTTAGGGTTTAG